GAGAAGGGTTCGACCTCGATCGAACAACGACAAACTGTTCTTTTGATAAGTTCGAAATATTTCGATAAGTTCGAAATAACACCCTTTAAGGCCAAGGGCCTTCACCAAAAAGAGAAGGGTTTGACCTCGATCGAACGATGACGGGATATTATTTCGATAAGTTCGAAATAACACCCTTTAAGGCCAAGGAACTTCCCCTAAAAAGAGAAGGGTTCGACCTCGATCGAACAACGACGGGCTGTTATTTCAATAATTTTGAAATAACACCCTTTAAGGCCAAGGGCCTTCTCCAAAAAAGAAAAGGGGTCGACCTCGATCGAACAACGACGGGCTATTATTTCGATAAGTTCGAAATAACAACCTTTAAGGCCAAGGGCCTTCTCCAAAAAAGAGAAGGGTTCGACCTCAATCAAACGATGATGGGTTATTATTTCGATAAGTCCAAAATAAATAAAAAAGAAGAGTTCAACCTCGATCGAACAACGACGGGCTGTTATTTCGATAAGTTCGAAATAACTCCCCTCATCGCCAAAAAGGGAGAAGGTTTCAACCTCAGTCCAGTAATGACAAGGCACCATTTCAATTAGTTCGAAATATTTGTAAGGTCGAAAACCACCAAAATTAAAAAAAAATGGGACTCATCATACGGGGGTCTATCTCGCACCAAAAGCCATAAATGAAAGGAATAAAAGTGAAGTACAAGATAGATAGGGAAAAAAAGAACTTTCATTTATACAAAGTCACAGTGCGGGCTATCACCGCTTACATATGGCCCAAGCCAACCCAAAAAAAGACATGAACGAACGACAATCAACAAACAATTGAAAATGAAAACAGAGAACAACATTCCTCATTCGGCATTATCACTACCGTTACCAGCACCATCACCATCACCACCATCATCACCGTCTCCAAGAGGTTCTCCATTACCACCATCTGTATCCCCGTTAGCTTCGGGCATCGCAGCGTCATACCCACAATTGATGAGAGTCTCACGTGCTTTTTCTTGCACTTCTTCATAAGTAGCCTCAGCCACGGTGCCCGCCTCCCACAAACTCTTGTATATATCATGCTGGGCTTCAGCATAAACCCAGAGCTCATGCGTTTGGCAGGGAACGACAATGGAAGATGACTCAACCTGAGCCAATAATCGCTCATTTTCTGCCTCCAGAGCTGCAACCCAATCTCCCAGAACTGATGCCTCCTAATCAATCACACAGATGCGCTCCTCGAGCCTCGCCTCCCTGAGGGTGGCTTTTGCTCTCTCTGACTCCTGTTCGGATTGGAGGACGTAGATGGTGTTCTCCAGGGTCGTCACCCTTTCCAAAGCCTCGGACCAGGCACTCTCAATGCTCTCCAACCCAGCGACATTTCTCTCCATCGCCATCAATTTTCTCATTCATTCCACGCTCATCGCCTCAACCTTGACCAAGTTCTTGTCCATCCCCGACTACATCGACCTCAACCTACCATACAGATGCACACATTCCGCTGCGACCCCCTTACCCAGCTTGAGCTCCTAATCCTTAATTGGAAGTTACTCCTTGAGTGCGCTCTAGCTGCAGATGGTCTGCATCAATTCCTAGTCCCTTCTCTCCAGCTCCTCACCAAGAGCCCGATTACGGGGGTCTGTCCTAAGCCTCTCATACATGTTGTGACAACTGTCGCAGTAGCGATGATATTTCTCTAGCATCTTCAAGAAAATCCTTGCCTAGATGTTGGCCCTGTAAATGCTTTCCACTTCCACCATATATGTTTGGAAAACATAAAGACAGGGTTAAACTAGTACTTTCGAAAAGGGCGAAAGCATAAAGCGAAAACAAAATCTAACGTACCCTTAAGCCCATGACGGCCACCTCGTCCATCAACTCACCATTAGGAACAGACCGAAGGGACTCAATCTCATCTTCGAAGCATAATAGCCTGAATTGCGATACCAAGTCGTCCCTTTCTGCTAAGAGATTAAAGCCGGAAGGGATCTGAAGAATACGGGTCGAGCTCCCCGCATTAACCACCGAATGAGAAAGACCCTCCTCAAAGATCCTAACATCTTTGAGGTCCAGGTCTGACTCAGATTCATAGTCGTCAACTACCACACCTTTTCCCCTCTCTCCGCCATGATAGGTTATTGTCCACCAACAACGGTAGGGAATTATGATTAAGCCAAAAGGGTGGCAGGAGTTTCTGATTGCCGATCACGAACTCCGACAATCCCGATGGCATGCTCTGTCCCTATAGGGGGAGCTGTAATAACACCTTCTCTAGAGCCCACCGGGGGAGAGTCGTCCAGATGAATTACCGTTGGGGGCGCCGTCTCAAATTCTACTCTCTGTCTCTTTGTCGGCCCCTTCTCCTCTCTCGAGAGCCCTCGCAGGAGTAACCAAGGCCGTAGACTCAACTAAACAGCCCTCGATGAAGGTCGAGCAATGGGTACTATGATAGGGTGAGCAGATACGACCGACTGGCATAAAGCTAACGGAGGAGCCTTCGCTCTTCGCACTCTCCCTAGTAATGACAAACAATGCATAGGAGGCTGAACAAAAAATAAAAAGACCAGTAGGCAAAGGCATCATCTCGCCTGTAAGAGGCCTGCGTCCGAACCTCTAATGAAAGGTCGACCATGTGCGAATCCCCACTGTATGGGGAAGTATGGCTTCCACCCATTCACGGATACCTTCGACAGGTGGAGCGGGCAATCTCTTAGCTGCAAAGACGAGATAAAGTTTAGTACTCGCGGAAAACAGTCGAACATTTCACTGACTAAAAATACAAACTTACGTGCGAAGTTCCATCTCTTAGGGAATCCCGTTAGGTCCGCCACAATATATTAAGTCCGCACATAAAAATAATTCTCGTAGAAACGACGGTTGGTCCTGTCATCCATCTTTACCGCCAGACTCCTCGACCTCGAGAACGTATGTGAATCATCGAACCGCGAATAAGTTGAGGCGCAAACACTACTAAAAAAACCCAGGGTTTAGCGACGGACAAAATCTGTAGCTAAACAGAAAAATCCGTCGCTAATCTCATTTAGCGGCGGATTAGCGACGGATTATCAAACGATTCTTCTAGCAACGAGCATTTTAGCGACAGATTAGCGACGACGTTCGTAGCTAAATCCAATTTTTTTTGTAGTGAAAGATGCTGAGCATATGGTCCAAAGTGACCTCGCGACCGGTAAGTTCCGCATACTTGAGCAGCATAAGGAATAACTTCTACAAATATGGTGAAAGTTGGGCGGGGCACACTTCATAGAAATGGCAAAAATCCACCACCAACAGGGGAAAAGGAAGTGTGTACCCTACAATGAAGGGGTAGGCGTATAACACGCAGTACCTAGGGCGGTCGAAGTGTACTATGTCGTCCCCCTCCACCGGCCGCATATCGATGTAATTGGGGATTCCCCACCTTTCTTTCAACTCTACGATCCCCTTTTCCCTTATGACGGAGGGGACAGTTTCCGGTTCCGCCCTGCCGCTAATACTGAAGTCGATTGCCTCTCTCCCGGGGCGAGGCAAGATCTTAACACTGAGGGAACCTCCCCATCCTCCGCCGCACCCGCCCCTCTGGCGACCTGAGCAGAACTTTCCGGTATCGGATTAGCGGCAGGGAGATATTCGCGAGAAGAATCACCAGCCATTTTTAGCAGAAAACGCTCCAAAGAAGTAATAAAAAGGAGAGATGAAAGATTTTAGTGAACAAAAGGGTAAGCAGAAATTTGAGGTATCAGGAAAAAAAAAGATATATCTGCAGAACTCTCCCGAGCAAAAGATGAAGAAGTGTGTCAATCGAATGATAAACTCCACCTATTTATAAGAGACATAAATCCCCTGAGCACGAAATCCAAGAGTCACCTATCGAATCTGATAGGGCACGAAACGTTTCAGTTCCCCACGAACGTGTGTCATAATGGTGATAACCACGAACCAACGCTTCAATACCAAATGATTTTCTGGTTCCAAAACCGCCGCAACGGTCCATGAGGATCGAAAGAATACCGTCACACCGTGAAAACCCACAAAATGTGACTAAGGAACAGAAAGTCATTGGTCCTATTTCTCTTAAAGTCGTAACGAACATGATCTGTCTGCCGAGTCCGACATACGACGACCCCGATAGACGGAGGGAATAACTGTATTGGTCAAAATCTGACCATCACGATCAAGTCAAACGACACCCCGTCTCAGTAACTGGGCGGTGAAGGTCAATAGAGCCCACTCCATTTCTCCTCCATGACATCCGACGAATCGGTAAGAGTGACGCCTAAAACCATGACCAAGACATCAGTGGCAAGAAGACATCGAGTAAAGCAAAGGGCAAGGATACCCTGACTATATATAGCCAGGGAAAGCTCTCAATTGGGGGGCTGCTCCAATTTCTATAAAAGGAAGACAAAAAACTCCCTTCTTGTATTATAGAAAAAAGAGGAAATGACCTCGAAGAAAATATGTAAATCTACTTCATCGTCGATCGATGAGGAAGACAATGTAGAATCTTAATAAGATCAATAATATCTCTTTTATCCCATATGCAATCGTTGTTGTTAACATTTCGATCTGGAATTAATTATGTTTGACGAAGATTTACACATTTATCTTTGATTGATTTGTTCAAAAAAGTTTTAATATCTTTTGAGTCAAACATATACCAATTCAGTATTTTGTAAATAGCTTTTTCTAAACAGATAGTATGAGATATGCTAATATTTTTTAAAATAAATATTTTCGGGTTTCTTTTTATTTTTTAGGCCGAATGGGGACTTTCGTTAATTTTCCGGAAAAAAAGGTCAGTTTGAAAGACGAGTGTAGTGCTAAACTCATGGAAACCAAACGCAATCACGCGTAATCAGATTGAGATACGTCAGTTCAACTTTCATTTAAGACCATCCCGCTTCACATGCTGACAACCAGCCCATTGTGTTATTCATTACTGTCCAACTACCCCATCTTTATTATTCGGCCCATTAATTCCTCTATACAATAACTCCTATTTATACAAAGACAAACACTCTCTCCATAAATATCAAGAAATAAACCTCTACATTTTGCTACAAAAAATCCTCCTCCTCTTACTCCTTTTTCAAGTTGCTTAGAAAATGAAAAGTGCATATAAATTTATCGGTTTAGCGATGTTAATGGTATTTTCATGTGGGTTGGCTAATGGAGATGATGACAAAAGCCTTAGTCAAAAGTGTGGGGTAGAATTTCAAAAGGTAGCGGCGTGTTTAACTTACGCGACGGGGAAAGCACCGGCGCCATCGAAGGAGTGCTGCGATGCGGCAGAGGATATAAAAGATGAGGACCCGGTTTGTCTTTGTTACATAATAGAACAGATACATAAAGGATCAAGTCCAGAGTTGAAGAGCATGGGCATTCAAGAAGACAAATTGCTTCAGCTTCCTTCTGCTTGCAAGCTCACTAATGCCAGCATCTCTAACTGCCCTAGTAAGCTTTCTCTTGTATAACATCATAATCTCTTACTCAGTTTAACTTCTGCCCGTCAAATAATTCAAAAAAATAAAAGAAATGCTATTTTTATCATTCATTGGCCCTTTCAGGATCAGACGTGACGAATAACATAGAAGATAAAGGTGACTTACCTTCTGAAAACATAAAACATATTAAAATATGATGATAGTGTAAAATATTTTTGTACACAAATAGTGTATATAAGTAAAATATCCTTACTTTATTTAGTGACAGAGCAGGATTTCAAGTTTATGGGTTCAAGATTCTAGATCGTTTAAATTAGTAGGTTCTTAATTAGTAATTTATATATATTCAATAGATCTCTTAAGAAAAATATAGGATTTGAACAAAAGCTGCTGGTTCGACAGAACCCGTATCTTGCCTTGACTGTATTAGTAATTTCTTTTATCTCCCTTTCTTTTTTCTAAGTGAATTCTTTTCCATGTAATTGTTTCTTCCTTTTGGTGATCTAGCACGCTGTTTGACTTACTGAGGTGTGCTGTGAATTGTTTGTAAGAGTTACTTCTTCTTATCGGCACAGGATTTATAAGGAAAAGACAAAATAAATATATATATCAACCTTACAAACTTAAAGAGTATGTAAAAGCTTTTGTGGCACGTTCACTTTTGTGGGGGTAATAAGAGCTTTTCATAAAAGACAATAGGAAAATTGAAAAGTTTAAAGTGGAATTGCTTTTAAATATAAATATGTATCATTTTTTTTTAACGGACTAATAAGGAAAGTATGTCAACATAAATTGAATCAGAGGGATTGTAATTGAATGTATATCCCTGGAAAAAAAAAGCTTGTTTGGAAAACGGTATGTTTCTAAATATTTTGTTTCATTGTTGCTACTTGCTACATTAAACATGAAGCAACTGAAAATTGTTTATCGAAGTTGAACTAAGGCAATTCTTAATATATAGTTTAACTAATTCAATGACATTTTACTAGGAAACAAGCACTCATGTTGACATTTTTCTGCCTTTCTTGTTCCTTTTTTTTTAACCATGCATGGCCATTATCCATAGGGACATAGGGTATAGGATAGTCATTTTTAACACTGATCGAATTTAATACACCTTTCTTGGTTATTCATTTTTTCTTGAAATTAATTGAATCTAACTTTCTAGTCAATATTTAGCCCGTCAGTTATCATTAATTATATATGGACCATCTCATTGATTTTGAACTTTGAAAAAATGTTGGTTTACAATAAAAGAATGTCATTTGGAGCTCGTGGGCCATTTTTGACCGGTAAAGGAAGTGTAGAAAAGAATGTGTAGCGGTGACATCTCACACGTTACCATTTTGAGTCGTGCCAAGAAGTAAACTCTGGTATAAGTGAAAGGAGAGAAGAAAACCCTAGTGATTCTCAAAGTTATGATGTATCAATCTCAAGCAAGTTAGAATCACTTAGATGAATGTTTCTAACGTCCATATGTTACTTCATTTATGTTATTTGGAAGTAGATTTTTTTTTTAACAATAACATTAATTCTTTGTAGATTTTGTTACTAGACTTTTTTACCATCAAATATTAATTTTCATGTTGATGAGCGCAGAGTTACTCAACATTCCTTCAACTTCTCCTGATTATGCCATCTTCACCAATGCATCTACTGCGTCCAAAACCCC